ATAACATGTTAAATATTTTTTTTGGAAATTGTGCGGTTGCGGCCCAATATGAACAGTAAACAAGGAAACAAACTCTACTTATTAAAAAAGAATACTATTTATTGTAATACTTCATTTGATCATAATATAATGTAATATTTCTTAATGTACACAGAGTATATACTTATTTATATATTTGGGCATAAGCTACTACATGGGACATGTACAGTAATTAAAGCAAACATAAAAAAATACATCAGAATATCATTGGCACAGATGTGAAGAATACATATTGGGGGAAAAACAAAAACTTAAATGAACACGTTACAGTCTCACAGTGAATACATTTTCATCTTTTTTCACATTCATGGCTTAATACACAGATCTGGATGAAAAAAATGGCTCTAAATTAAGAACTACCCAACTACCCAAATGTACCCAACATTTACAGAGACAAGCTACCTCTTGACACACACACACACACACACACAGCCTAACCCTAAATATTTGATTTGAATTGGAGTTATTTGGGTTATAAAAAAGAATCAAGAAAAAAGCAGGATTTTCTACTGGGAGTTGATTGGCTTGTGAAATGTGCTCTCCTAAAACGAAACCAACTGGAACCAAAAAGCCTCTTTGTCCATGAAGAGATATTCGTATGTAGCAGTGTATTTTTGCAAATAACATTCTAATCTCAAATATATTATAGTAGATGTTTTGCAAATGGTTTTTAGCATGAAACTGATATGTGGGAAAATGAAAAAATAAAAGTTAAATATAAATAATAAAATCAGAAATACATTAACGCTTTTGAACTTTCTCATTGATAACACTTGACTGAACATATTACAGTCTGAAAAATAATGTGGGTCATTGAAGGGTCTAAATGCTTTAAGGGGATAGAATATATACCTCTGTGAGATGAATAGGTGTTTTTACAGCATCTGTGTGACCGTATTTTACACACACCTGCTTTTGCCCTTGGTCAGTATTTACACTGCAGATCAACTCTATTTCCGTAATTAATATGCTTAACTTATGTGAGCAAACTCTGCCATCAGCCCAAATTAGCTAGCAAACAAACAAACAAGCTCAGTGCAGCAGAGCATGATGGGTAATGGAGCAGTATGCCTGATGGCTCCTTCAGGAGCAAAAGCAGCGGAGTCATGTGACACGGTCATGTGTACTGAGAGGCAGAGTTAAATGAGTGTCAGTCACAGTGACAGTGTATTTACTGACTAATCAAGCGTCAGTCATTGTGTGTACATAAAAGCTCAGCGGGGACAGAAAGGGCATCTTCTAGCTCTGCTGACACGGCAGCGCTGATCTAAACCCAATCACCTGCTGCTGACAGCGGCTGAATGAGACCCAGAACTCACGGGAAAACAAGAGCTAAAGATGGCGAGGTGTCACCCTGGAGGAGCAGACAGCTAAAGAACAAACTTTATGGGAAAACTAAGTGTTATGGAGCTGCAAAGAGATCAAATCGAGGTCAATCCAGTGTGATACAATACAATAAATAAGATAAGCTGCTCCAGTGGAGTACAGTGGTAAAATGGACCAGAAAGAACCAAAAACACAGGAAATTAAAATGTTTTGCTTATCTTATGACAACCAAACAATGCACAGAAATTTGCTAACAGAACATGTTACCTGACAAAAGAGCAGACTATAAAATATATAGAACAAACACAACAGGACTGCAATCACCATAAACACTGGGACATTTCCCTCAATTTTCATGGGGGTTTCAATGAATGCTTTCTAACTGAAACAATAAATATGTTAATGAAAAAAGCAAATGTAAAAATAAATAAATAAAATAAAAATTAAGGGAATCAGTGCTGAAAAGCAAGGTGTTGAAGTTTTAGATATACTACCGTTCAAAAGTTTTTGTTTTTGTTTTTTTTAAAGAAATTAATACCTTTAATCAGAAAGGATGCATTATATTTATCAAAAGTGACAGTTAAAGACAATGTAACAAAATATTTATATTTTAAATAAATGCTGTTCTTTTCAGCTTTTTAGTCATCAAAAAAAAAAAAAATCAGTAAAAAAAATGTGTCAGTTTGCACAGAAATATTAAGCAGCACACTGAAGACTGGAATAATTAAAGTAATTCTGAAGACTGGAGTATTGATGCTGAAAATCCGGCTTTGCATCACAGGAATAAATTACATTTGACAATATATTAAAATAGAAAACAGGGTCCCACTTTATATTAAGTGGCCTTAACTGCTATGTACTTACATTTAAATGAATCATTTGGTACAATGCACTTATTGTGTACATGCATGTTTTTACATTGTACTTATATTTTAAAAATACCTGCATGTAATTATTTCTGTAATTACATTTATAATTACACTGTTGACCCATCCCTTACACCTTAACCCACCCTTAAACCTACCCATACCACCAAACCTGTCCCTAACCTTACCCACCTCAATAGCAGCAAAAGTGTTTTGCAATACAATTTGAACACAATAAGTACATTGTACTTATTTGTTGATGTAACTACATAGTAGTTAAGGCCACTTAACATAAAGTGGGACCGAAAACAGTTATTTTAAATAGTAATAATATTTCACCACATTACTGTTTTACTATAATTTTGATCAAATAAATGCAGCCCTGGCGTGCAGACAAGTTTTCTTTCATACTTTTTCTTTTCAGAAAAATCTTACCAACCCCAAACTACTGAACGGTAGTTTCACTGTATGTTTTTGACTTCACCTCAGTGGAGTTCTGTATATATGATCTGCTTTAAATCTTTCTATACAATCAAAGCCTTTTCTTACAAACATATTGTCTGTTGTATGTGCATGAAATCCAATTCTGTGCTCCTTTTGCAGTGTAAAAAAGGAAGAAAGAAACTACCACATTTTCACAAATTCAAGTATCGAGCCTTGCTGCCCGCCCTTCAAACACTGTAAGTAGAGCATGAACGTGTTCTCTTGGTGTTCAGAAGAGTATTTTACAAAAGAACAACATAAGGAAATACATTTTCTAGTCAATGGCAAAACCTCTTTTCCATGTATTTGAGCCCATCCAATCCTGAATATGTAGTCATCCTGAATGACAGCCATGGATGCTCATTTAAACAGCTTGACTTGAATGTATCATTTAAAAAAAAAGCTTTACATGACTGATTTGATCATATTATGAAAGTGACGTGACATGTGGCCAAGTATGGTTACCCATACTCGGAATTAGTGCTCTGCATTTAGTGCACACACACAGCAGTGAACACACACACACCGTGAACACACACCCGGAGCAGTGGGCAGCCATTTATGCTGCGGCGCCCGGGGAGCAGTTGGGGGTTCGGTGCCTTGCTCAAGGACACCTCAGTCGTGGTAT